AGAACTTAATGGGTAGAAGACACAAGAAACATATTAACTACATCTGTGGAAAGAAACCATGGAGAAGTTCAATAATATAATTAGAAAAAAGCCAGGGTTCGACTGAGGAGCAGAACATCAATTGCTCCCATGCACGTTCAAGTTCAAGTTGACAAAAATATTAAACAAGTTCACAAGAGTCAGAGTACATCCCTGAGTATACCCATGTGACTTTAGAAACCATCTTAATAATAGATTTCATGCACTAAACACTAACGTCCAAAGATAAATTGTGGGATGACATCAAGAACATAATATAGAAAGCAAAAGGTCATTAAAAAATTAGGAAATAAAGAAAAGACCAAAATGGAAGTCAGAAAAGACTCTGAAGTTTGCTCATGAACACAGAGTAACTAAAGTGAATGCAAGAAATGACAAAAGAGCTGAAAAGAAAACTTTTCCATTCGGTGGGAGAAAGACATGGCAGTCTGCTTCCATTAAGATCAAGCCAAAAATCAAATCCATTGTCATTAAGTCAATTCCAACTCACACCGATCCTACATGGCAGAGTAGGACTGTCTCCATAGGATTTCTAAGACTGTAATCTTTACTGAAGCACACTACCACGTTTCTCCCTTGAAATGGCTGGTAGACTCGAACCACCAACCTTTTGGTCAGAAGCTGAGCGATTAACCACAGAGCAACTAGGATTCCTTCAGTAAGATTGTTGTTAAATGCCATCAAGTTGATTCCAACTCAAAGCAATGCTGCTGGATCGCTCGTGAGTTTGAACCACCAAACTTGTGGTTAAAAACAACTCTGCAATCCAGTGCTTTATCCTACAGCACCACACCAACCTTAGGAACCCTGTGGGACAGTTCTATTCTGTCCTATAGAGGCGTTATGAATCGGAATCAACTTGATAATGGCAACAGGTTTGGCTTCAGGTTTAATTCTGTAAACACATTGGGAATAGTTTATTCCCAATAATAATCTATAAGCCTTAAGGAGTCCTGGTGTGGCACTATACAAAAAGCAATGGACTGCTGGACTGCAAGGTTGGTTGTTCAAACCCATCAGCTGCTCCTTAGAAACCCTATATAGGGTCGCTATGCATCAGAACTGACTCAATAGCACTTAACAACAACAATGACACCTGAGTTTAGGGTGTGTTTTAAACCTATCACTTCTGAGATATAAAAGGAGTAGATTGGGCATAAAAGCAAGGAAATATAAATGGTAAAGATTAATGTTACATAAACAGGATAAACTGAAAGAGACAAAGATTTTGTCCAGAGTGGACAGACAGAACTCTCCCCTAGAGCTGGCACGCAGATTTCAGACCTTTAGGCCCTGAGCTGAAAAAATGAATGTCAGTCCTTTAAAGCCATCCATCTGTGGTACTTCTACTATAGCAGCACTAGTAGCGTAGTGGTTACAAATCAGGCTGCAAACTGCAAGGTCAGCAGTTCAAAACTACCAGCTGCTTCTGCTCCTGTAAAGATTTACGGCCTTGGAAACCCTGTACAGGGTCGCTATGAGTCGGAACTGACTCCACGGCACATAACAACAACAAGTAAACTAAGAACAATGGCTATAATGAAAAGACAGAAAATGTCGAGCTGCAAGGATGTGAAGATATTAAGATCTTAATGCATGCTGGGGTTATTTTTAAGTGACATTGAGTCAGTTCCAATCCACAAAGACCCTATGAATATATGGCTTCTGAGGAGAGACTGGACCGTAAACCTTTTGATCTGCAGTCCTGTGCTTATCCTGTGAGTGCCACACCAGGATTCCAGGAGTGCAAAATGGGGTAGCGGCTTCGGGCAGTTCTTCAAAAAGTTAAATATAGAATCACCATTATTGTTGTTAAGTGCCTTCAAGTCGGTTCCAATGCAGAGCAACCCTGTACAGTATTTCTGAGGAGCAGCTTGTTGATTTGAACTGTCAACCTTGTGGTTCACAGTCCATTGTTTATCCTACAGTGCTACACCAGGAGTCTATACAACCAAGCAATTCCACTTTTAGATGTACTATATTTCTGCATATAATGTGCAAATTAAATAACATGCATATGCATATAACTCACCCAGTGTGTACAGGAGACTAATATGTGAAGAGGTTTGGAGGTTTAGAAAAACAAAACCCAAAACACTGAACACCTGTGTTATTTGCTATGTTATAATAAAATTCAGTATGCCCCAAAAGAAATAAAATTGCACACCCACAGAAAAACTTGTGCATGAATGCTCAAAGCAGAATTGTTGATAATAATCAAAAGTGGAAAAAGTCCTAATATCCCTTGAGGGATGAATGGATAAACAAAATGTAGTATATTCTTACAATGGACTATTATTCAGTATAAAAGCAAATAAAGCACTGATACAAGCTACATAGATGACCCTTGAAGTCATCACAAAAA